GATAAGTATGATCAAGTCCTTGCTTATCTTCTTAGCCCTTTAGCCATATAGACCCTCGTAGAAATCTATTCTCCTTTATGGTCTATAAATACCACCAAAGATGATGAGGGCATTCATCTCATAAACTTTGGTAACTCACATACCCAACATGGAGGAGAAGCACTGAGAAAGTCGTCCATGCTTTGGAGCCATGAAGGAGGAGTGCCACTTAACCATCAACAGCACGGAGAAGCCATCTTTCCTAGCATCACTAAATCGTAGCGTGACGGACTATCGAAGGGGTCATCAAAACTTCATTTTAGCACCGACACTTGAAGCCATGCTGCCACGAGGAGCCAATAATCCACCTCAAAAGTCGTCTTCGTCGATGCCTTGGCGATGATTTTGTTCTTTTTTTTTGTTTGCAGGTTTGTGATCTTTCTTCGTTCCACGGAGATCCATCATCCTTCCATCACGGAGTCGACGTGGAGTTATACCTTAGAGCTACATGTTGAGCGTCACAACGAATGTTGACATCCCGGAGTCATGTAATTGAGCCTCACAACTCGAGCCTCGACACCTTGAAATTGGCAATGCATCATGAACTTTGACATTGGAGTGTTATATTCTAGAGCCTTACATCCCAAACCTCAACAGATTGGAGCTACACATGGAGCCTCATAGCCGAACTTTGTCATATTGGAGTCGTACTCAGACCTCGCAAAGTCATGCACACACATAACAGCTCAAAGATAAAGCTTCTGTCCAGCCTCTATTTCCGACGAACTAGAGGACATTTACATGATCACACTGTCCTGATTGCAACTCAATGTTTTGTCAACCATGTGTCAAAATTTCAAGTAAATCAGTCCACGTTTTCCCATCCGATCGAGTGATTGATCAAGGTTGCTCCTAGAACTTCATGGCTGCACTACTTCGTACTGCCTTTTTCGTTTTTCTTTCTTTTATTTTCTTTTTTTTTTTTATTTTGATAACGATGGTCATGATAGGATCATGATATCCACGTCACTTTTTTTTTGTTTTTTTTTTTGTTTTTGTTTTGTTGTTTTTTTTTTGGTATATATATAAAATGAAATTATATATACTAGGTGCAACAATCATGTTCTTGAACAACTTGATTGACTTTCAACTCGAAGGAACCATGTCAACTATAATGCAACAATTAAATGCATTGCCACTGTAACCTTGATGAATTTGTTTTCTAGACATTGTCTTGTTGATGTTGATGAAGAAGAGGTTTGACTACATGAGTGAGAGGTCATATTGCCGAGAAGTAGAGATGACAACAAGAAACTTTTGTGGTTCTTCCATGAGTGCCACTATCGACAACGGTTATTTGGTGCTTGAAGCTTTCTCCAAACCGATCTCAAAACGATAAGCTTGCTGGAAGTCTTTTCATGATCCATGTCAAATTGAGTTTGTTTATCCGACTCGGCGATGCAATGCTTTCTATGAATCTCAAGAATGGTGGGCCATTGGTGCTTAGCTTGGAGGCTACCTCAAAGGTGGTTTTTTTATTTTATTTTTTTATGTGCAAATCTTAAGTGCTTTGGTGGCCTTTTCCAAACCTCCAAAGTTTGTTAGTGAAGTATTGGTGTTCGATAGCTTTCTCCAATCTTCGTGTTTGATGTTTTGAGTTGGTCTCAAGTGCTTGAAAGCCTTCTCCAGATCTCGAGAACTTCGGTGGACCAGAGCTTGGTAGCTTTCTCTGATCTTCATGATTAACACTTTGAGTTGATGATCTCTGGTGCTTAGAAGCTTTCTCCAGATCTGAAAAAATTTGGTGGAGCACTGGTGCTTGGAAGCTTTCTCTTAATGTCCACGTTTGATCAATTTGTGAATCTCCAGTGCTTGCAGCTTACTCCAGATCTTCGAGTAAACTTGGTGAAGTAACTAATTGAAACTCTTGCAATTTATAATTCATTTTTTGTTTTTTATGGATGCCTTTGAATAAATTTCTATATATCCAAGATTTCTACGTACCAATTAAGTAATAGAAATTTACGTTTTGGATCAAGCCAGACGTAGTTCAATTTTTTTTTTTTTTTTTTTTTGTTATGCAGTTTAGGCTCTTGCTTAGGAGTTTTGAGGACCGCTTTTTCATCTTTGCCCCCTTGGATGTTGATGATCGTCTAATTAGATCCGTCTTCACGATTAGCTATTGTAAACTCCATCTCATGAGCTTGAGTCACCAAGTCTTAGAGTGTTTTGGGTTTAATTCCTTGCAAGATGTAAGCAAGATCCTGGTGCATGCCTTGGATGCACATCTCGACTGCAGAAGTTTCGGACAACTAGTCTTTCCATTGAAGACTTAATCCTCGCCATCGGTTGATGTAGTCGACGACCGGTTCATCATCTGACTGGTTGGTTTGTGTCAACTCCGTCATGCTGTGAATGCGGCGAGTGCTGAAGAAGCGATTGAGGAACATTTATTCCATTTGTTCCAAGCTGTCAATGGATTTTTGAGGTAGATTTGTGTACCAATCGAAGGCGGTGCCCTTAAGAGAACGAACAAATTGCTTGACAAGCAAATCTCCCAAAGTCCCAACATTATTGCATGTTTCTATGAATTGTGCGATATGTTGCTTGGGGTTGCCGGTCCCATCAAATTGCTGGAATTTTGGAGGTTGATAACTGCTTGGCATCCTCAACTTATTAATCCTCTTTGTGTAGGGATTTCCGTAGCGTGACCATCTTTGTTGACGTCTCTACCGAGTTGGTGTCATCACTTGAATTGCTTCGAAGTTGAACGAATCACTTTTTGAACTAAGCTTTGTTTTCGTGCTAAGTTTTGACCCGATGCTATCACCTTCACTTTCTTCGATTGGGCGCTTCTCGAGTCTTCTTTCGAGTGTAGCAATTTGTTCGCTTTGGAGTTTGATTTGTGCTCCCTTTTCTTTGTCGTCTTTGACAAGTTTCTCAAGAAGTAGCTTCATATTTGCTAACTCCTCCTTGATGGTGTTTGCTTCGATTGCCATGACATTTACAACGACGTTGTATTGTGTGTCGTCCTTCGTCATCACTTCTTGAAGGTGCTTCAACATTTTGATTCGTGAAGAAAGTGATGAGAGGTAGAAATTGTCCCACCGAGCATGCCAAATTTGTAAACACAAATTTAAAATCTACAAAATATAGATTCAAAACAAATGCAAAAAAGTATTAAATTTATTAATTTGATAATTTTGGGTACAATCTCTAATTTGCTCCTGTGATTCGATCTTCACTTTAGCTTTGACTTGTTTCACAGGCTGACTTGATTCTTGATCATGGGCCGTCGAGGCTTGATCACGATCGAAGACTGTTGATGCAGAATTTTGACTTATTGTTGACGTAGACCTTTGATTTGAATTGTTTTTCTTTCCATCGTGTTGAGGGCCGTCGAGGCTTGATCTCTTCCACGGGTGATCTTTTAGAGTAGAATGCACGTTGAATGCTTGTTTGTACATTAGAAATTGGGCTTGACAATATAACTCAATTATGATGGTCTAGCCTATATATTGGGTTTAATAATTTAATTAAATAAAATGGGCTATTTTAACATATTTCACCCAAATTAAATAATTTAAATTAGTAAACAAACCATTAAGTCAACAATTTGACTTTTGACCCATATAATATCCGATGTTGCACTTATCTAAATTTTTCATGCCTACATAGCCTTCATAGCATGTATCTAATAAATATTTCACATTACAATACTTATTGAAATAATACTATTTGTATCAATGATATGTTTTGAATTTGGCATATAGATAAAATAAAAGTTTATGTTAAATTTTAATAAACAATTCGGACATCGCCCGGAAACAAAACTAATACTATGTATAAACTAGTACTAAATATAGATATACTGTAGAATTGTAGATGGATTAGATTGACTCGATCCCAACCCCAAGCTCGTTTAATGGTTTACCCAACCCAAAAATAATTCGACTTATACTCCCTTCGTCCCATAATATAGTTTTTGTTTGTGTTTTTTCACGGTATTTAAGAAATAGGAGGAAAAAGTGGATGGATTACATTAATAAAAGTGAAAAATGCGATTATAGACAAAAGTTACAGAGAGAAAATGGAAAAAAGTACAAGACATGTACAAAATTCAAAAGGTAATTTAGGAAATACAATGAGGGGCCGTTTGGTTTGCACGGGGTAAACATAATGGAATGAACAAAGGGAATGAAATGGAATGGAATGAAAATCCCTTAAATGTAGTATGTTGTTTGGTTGTAAAAAAACAATGGGAATCACTAGATTCACCACCACCACACCCACACACTCTCACCGCATTTTCGAAGGTTGTGGTGGCTGGACGGAACCTTAACCCCCATCCCTACCCCTCGCCGCCCATCCCTAACCCCTCGCCGCTCAGACCTAACCCCTCCAACTACACGGTGGTCGACTTAGAAGGGTTTCTAGGGTCGGGGTGGCATTTTCGAGGAGAGGGGGTGGCGTTTTCAAGGGCTATGCGTGGGTGTGGGGAAGGTTTTCCGGGGAGGGAAGGTAGTTTCAGGGGGCGGCGAAGGGTTAGGGAGGGGCGGTGACTGGTGCGACGTGGGGATGACCGGGATTAGGGAATTTTTTCGAGGGAGTTGAGGGGATGGCCGGCGAGGGGTGGTGGAGTTGAGGGGATGGCCGACGAGGGGTGGGGGAGGTGCGGCGAAGGGTAGGCGGTGGTGCGGTGGTGCAGTTTTCGGGTGATGTGGGTAGGTAGGAGGGTGGTGGTATGGTGGTGTGGTGGTGGCCAAGGAATGGAATGGAAATACCTTGGGGGGTGGAAAATGAACTTGGAGGGATTTAGGGGAATGAAGGGGGAAAGGAGAAATGGAAAAGTGGCCTAACAAACAACAACAAAGGGAATGATTCCCGTCGATTTCCATTCCCTTTGTTAAATACCCCCAACCAAACGGCCCCTGAATAAAATTTAAAAACTATATTATGGGAAAGGGAAAGTATTAGTTTGAGTCAAAAGTACCTGCTCCATCCGTATAACCCAGGAAACATGTCCTGTCTTGGGTGGTACTCCATCCGATAACCCAAACACATATATAATGTTGGTGTAGAATCTGTCGACCATCTCATGTCTTTCGTTTATTCTTAACCTCAGTAACACAAACTTTGCGGAGAGAGAAAGCAAGTGCAAAGAAGCATTCAATAAATCAATCACTAATTCTATCAAATTTCACCACCACTAATCCAATCCAATAATTCGCCGGGAAATATGGTGATGATCAGAGTTCGCAGCCGTGACGGTGTCGAAAGAGTTACAATCGACAACCCTAACATTACAATCGCCGAACTCAAAACCCTAATTGAGTTACAGCTTCATGTACCGCTCTCAAATCAAACAATATCGCTCCAACAAAATCTGTTGTTGGCCAAAAACCCCGCCGATCGATCGCGGTTTTCGGATATGGCGAATCCTGATATTCGATTGTCATCTCTCGGTATCGGGCATGGATCCCTTATCTATTTGTCGTATGATGGGGAGCGTGAGATTGTTGCTGCTGCTCGTCGTCCGAGTATAACTCCAGCAGGGTCGTTCGGGAAGAAGATGACAATGGATGATTTGATTGCGAAACAGATGAGGGTGACACGGCAGGAAGCGCCTCATTCACAGCTTGTGTCGTTTGATAGGGATGCTGCTAATGCATTCCAGAGTTATGTGAATGAAACCCTAGCGTTTGCGGTGAAGCGAGGCGGGTTTATGTATGGGACCGTTTCGGAGGATGGGAAGGTGGAGGTGGATTTTATTTATGAGCCGCCGCAGATGGGGGAGGAGGAAAGGTTGCTGCTGATGAGGGATAGTGAGGAAGAGAAGCTCGTCGATGCGATTGCCACGGGTTTGGGGATGAGAAAGGTTGGATTTATATTTACTCAGGCTGTTGGGCAGGACAAGAAGGATTATACGATGTCGTATTTGGAGGTTGCTCAGGCTGTGGAGTTCCACGCTGAGAGTGGGTTGAAGGAGTGGGTGACAGCTTTAGTGAAGCTCAAGGTTAATGATGATGGTGTGGCTGATGTGCATTTTGAGGCCTTTCAGATGAGTGATATGTGTGTTCGGCTTTTTAAGGAAGATTGGTTCGATTTCGAGCGTGGCAAGGAGGGGGAAGAGGTTGATTCTAAGGTATCCCGGATGAAGGAGGATGTTGTTGTTGGTGGGAAGGATGTTATAGAGGTGGATAATGATTTCTTCTTGGTTGTCGTCTCGATTTTCGATCATCAGGTGTTGCCTCTAACTCAATCCTGTTTTAAGTTCTCTTTTACCGGTACATAATTCTCTGGTTGTTTACTTGCTATGATGAAGTTATTATCTTCCTATATTTTCTTTTCTTTTTAGTGTGAATGGTTATGTGTTATTCATTCTTATATGCAAAAAATCATACCTAACCATTTGGCGATGTATAAGATTAATGTATCACATATTAGTGGACAGGGAATCTGTGAATGTTTATGGTATCTAAAACTACATATGGTAATTATAGAAGCTTGTGAACATAATGAATATCCTTATTTCAAGTTTTCAAGTGTTATAATAATATTGGTGCAATAGTTTAGAAAATTTCAAGGGAATCTGTTTATCTTAGAAATTTTAAAGAACTTATAGGCATGTGGAGGTCAGGGGCAAAAGCAAACTACTAAATATATCATCTGAAATTCTAAATTGTACAATAGCTGCACCTTAAAATTTCCTCTATATTTAGTACGAAGGTGATAAAAAAAAAAAATACTATATCTATGAAAAGAAACATCAATTATTAATTTAATAACTTTATGTACTTGTGATGGTGGAAAAGTTTAGAATCTTGAGATAAAATTAGAACACTTAAATATGAAATACTTCTAAAAACCTACAAATGTAAAAGTTATGCACAAATGCAAATACATTGGAATGAACTGAAAACCATAATTGAAAAAAAGGAAAGAAAAAGTATTAGTCTAATAATGGGAAAGAGCATTTAATATTTTGTGCACTATGATTGACCATAAGAGGGAACACCATAAAGATAATAAGATACATGCCCCAGATGTTACTCGCAGGTGTCCGTTTATGAGTTTCTTTGTTAAAATACCATATCTTTGAAATATTCATGATGCTTGAGAAAATAGAAGAAAAATACAGAAAAAATGAGCTAATGTAAAATTGAATACTGAAAAAGAGAATATGGGAAAATCAACTCATAAAGGTGTCAATAAAAATTAAAAAGCATATGTATCTATAAGAGTTTGCAGGAAATAAGTAAACTCCAATAGGAAATTAATATAGTAGAAGTAATAATTAGGATGAATTAATGTAGACCCTTCAGAAAATTACAAGAAGTGGATGTGTTAAGAAGCACTTATGATGATACTTTGTAAGGGTAGTAACATAGTACCAGGACATGAAAGTAAAGTTATGGGGCACAAAATGCAGTGTTTAGAACAATCACGGGCAGTGGGCCATGGAAAACATTGATTTTTCATATACATTGACTAGTATTCACAATTTTAGAACTTCCTCTTTATTTTATTATCAAACATGTGAAAATAAAAATCTATCCACCAGTCTAAAGGAAACATGTGAAAAAAGCCCATCAACCAGGCTAAAGATGGTATCAAATTAAATGTATAACACTCACTTGAGAAATTCAAATTTTATGATTGCTTTAAGTTAAAAGTACCATTTCAATCAAATGAATCACATCACCTCAAAGGATTTCTTAAAGTTTGATAACTCTAAAAAAGGGGTTGTATGTTTAAGGGGTTTCAAAAAATTGAAGGGCGATCATCACCCACCAATTCCTCACTATTTATTTGTTACGTTATTTTTCCATTTGGTTTTCCCTCTAGTTTGTAAGGTCATTCCAAAAGCTCTGCTTTAATCCTCTACCCCAAATATGAGTTAGGAAAGAGAAAGAACAAATGGTGAGGTATGAGTGACAAATTTGATCAACACCACTGCCTTCCACCATCATAGCTACATTTTACAGTGTACAAAATTTCTTACGAAATTTTTGTGCATTATTTTCGGTGTAATTTTTTTTTGGTGTGTGAGACAATGCGTCTGTGCACGTCAAGAAGGTGAAGATGTAGGAGGTATGAATGTTAGGGTGTTGGTTGAAATTTTGAAGAAGAAAGAACGTCAAAGGTTTCCTTTCATAGATAACCAAACATATGTATTGTCCCCCTTTTTCTGTTTCCTTTTGTATTTCTTTTCCCTTTCTTTCAATTTAATTGAACCAAAAGCCCCAAAAAATTATTGACAACTAACCTGTGTAATTGTGTTATGTAGACTCTTCATGTTACCTCACTTACCTGTCTCAAACACATAGTTCAAACTAGAATTTCCTTTTGTGTTTCCATATTATACCCTTGCAAAATTCACCTTTGTGGAGAAGAAAATATTATATCTGCTCACTGTAACCTACCTTACCTTTGATCTCAGCTAATGCTAAATCAACCTATCACAAAGTTGTCAAATGACTATTATGGAGTTTGCTTTGTTGAGGGTTTTCAGGGGTGGGGGAAGTAGAAAGGTATAAATTATTTTTTACCTTTAAAAGAGTCAATAAGTGAGGAACTTAAGTTTATTGCCAAGTTCAGTTTTTTTTCATCAAATTGTCTGAGGTTATATTTCATTATGTTACCTCACAGCTGTGGCATAATTTAATGTTTTCATAATTTTTTTTACATAATGATGAGGGTAATGTGGTCAATGTAAATTCTCTCTACCAAATTCACCCCCTTCTCTTTTATTAACAATCGATTTGAAAAGACCTCTTATAATGTGTTTTAAGCCAGTTGGTGGCAAAATGTTCTGCATTATTGTGATGTGTGTTTAAATCATTCATGAAAACCATGTTACACGGACACGACATCATTGGTATTTGAGGTCAAATGAAGAGTCAGGGTAATATAGGTTGAGAGCCAGAGTACTAGTGTTGATACCCCTACATGTAATAAGGATTGAATTTGGCAATTTGCACTCGCATACAATTAGATCTAGGGAGTGAGTTAATTTTACTATAATATTTATGGTGCAAAGTAAACAATAGAAAAAATAAAAAACAAAATCAGTGACCTGGAGTGTTGAATACACTATTACTTCCCTTAAAAAAATGCACTTTTTACCAAAGAACAATTGTTGCTACTTGTTAGACATATTTTAATCTGAAGCTAGTTTTGGTTCGTTGGCATAGTTTGAATATTAAAATACTTGTGCAATCAGCCAACTAGCATATTCTTTCATATCATATTTATCTTTTTTTTTTTTAAATGTTTTAATGAGAAAATGCATTGTTGCATCTTGAATTTGTAAATGAATTTGATAAACTTATTCATCTACTTGCGAAGGGAAAGAGGAAGTGACTAAAAAAACATTTTATTGATTGATGGAAAGTGGGTGAATATGATAGGGGCTTAGTTTTAAAAAGCGCGCCTCGAGAGCGCCTAGGCGAGGCGAGGCGCAGGCCAAAACGCCTTGGTCTTCCCAGGCGTAGCGCATTCCAGAAGGCGCGCGCCTCAGACCGCCTCCACCAAGGCGCAAGGCGCAGCGCCTCAACCGCCTTATGTTTCAAAGCGTGAGAAAAGGGGATCTCGATTAATTTTTGAAAAATAAATGTTTTTTATTTCAAATTGAAGCTTACCCAGTGTTTAGAGTGATAATTCGAACAAAAGCCCCTTGATAATTGAATGAAATCACTTCAATTGGACCCTCAATCTAAAAACCCTAATTTTCGAAAAACCCTAATATCCGGGTTGCTTTGCAATTGAGTAAATTGATGGGTTCTGCTACGGCAGACATCACCGGAGATGACTTCCCGGCGGTTTCCGGCAGCATGTATACCGACTATAACGTAAAAGAGATTATTTTTTCTTAATTTTTTTTCTTTACTGATAAAGTAACAAAAGCCTGCTGCCTTCTTCTGACTTTGTTAATCACGTGACCATCTTCCTTTTTGTTTGTTTTTTTTTTCTTTTTCTTTTTTTTTTTTTAATTTTACAAAAACAAATTATTTTTAATTGTTTACTATACTTAAATTTGAGGTTTGTTAAAAAAAAAAAAATTATTATTACTCTAAAAAAAAAAGTAATATAAAATAAATTAAATTAATTTTCACATTAATTTAATTTTTTGATTAATTTTTAATTAAAAAAAAAAGAAGTAAAATAAAAATTAAAAAATTTGCGCCTCATATCCAAAAGGCGTGCGCTTTCGCTTTGCGCCTTGCCCCTAGGCTCTAGGGACCCTTTGCGCCTTGGTGGTCCTCGCGCTTTTTAAAACTAAGGATAGGGGTTGTTTTTTTGTTATGTCATAAAAAAAGGAACTTAGGGGAATGAAACACAAAGGATATGCATGTCATTATTTCTTGCTAACTTTTTTCTATTTAATATTACTATAGATATAGATTAATTTTAAAATCTATTAATGTTGTTTCCCATACACTAAATATTTTAAAGCAACGTGTCGTACACTTTGTACCAAACTTGTATCTGATACCTGTATTCATTTTGTCTAAACTGGTAAGATGATATCCTGGTTACCTCTGCCCCCCTCATATCGGCGGCTTGCTTAGTGAACTCTTAACTCTGGATGGAATTTTGAATAGTTATAGTCTAGATGTCCATCACCAGAAAGTTGTTAGTTCATCAAGTCCTCCACTGGTTTAAGGGATAATTTTTCTTTTGGTACAAGTCATGGAATCTATGCGTAGGTTATTGGCTCTTTGTTTTACTAGCCTGTCAAAGTTTCTGAAATTATTGACTAGACTGATTGAAAGCGATACATTACACCTTCAGGACCTAGAGGATTATACGCATGAAGTAGAACTTGTAATGTATGTCCAAATTGATGACAAATGATATATGTCCAATCGAGAATGGCTATATTGAATGGCTGCTCTTTCAAATTGTGTGTTTAAGAGTGAGAGTTTGTATACTCTTATTGTTCTATTTTACTTAGTCCAACAATCTACTTTATGTTGTTGATGTTTTTAAACCCTAATGTTTTGGTAAAATTAAAATTGGCTGGTTTTGATGGCAAATAGATTTTTTGTTACTCCACTTAAAGATCATAAACAGTGCACAAGGCTCCCACTGTATCAATTTCTGGGGGAAGGGCCTTACCTTTACATAAAGAGGTTGTTTTTAGGGATCAAACCTGTGACCCAGCGGATAGAAAGTGAACACTTTACCACTGCACCACCTTTATTTTTCTTTATTGTTGACAGCATTAAATATTTGACTGGCTTAATTTGCTAACTTGATGTGTGAGGTCTGTATAATATGTTCTTAAGGTGTGGATAGATATTGTGGTTGCTCATCTTCAAATCCATATCTTCTAGTTTTGGTGGTTGTTTTAGGCTATTTTTGTTACTTTCAGGCTTTATTTTTGTTCTTTAATTGGCTTTCCAAGAATTTAGTGTTATTGTTTTTCGAGACTGAAACTCCAAACTTTTACTTAAGATATCATGGAAGGGGCATATTTAATGACCTGTTTTGGAGATATTCTCTCATTGTTGTGTTGGTTATTTTAAAGTTGGTGGTTAGCTTATTATTTGTTAACTAAATTCCTAAATGATGAAACAATGTCCTTTCTGAATGATGTTACTGCTATGGAGGCTGCAATTTCTTAACTTATCATTGATTACAAATAAATTTCTGTACCCTTAATTTTTTTCCCTTTTTTTTAATAGTGCCGTATCTCGTATGTGATTCGTGTTTGTACTTGCTCCTGTACTGGAGTTGTGCAACTTAGCCGCCAAGTATAATATAATGGTTATGACCCCCCACCCCTCTTCATACACAAGGGTCTTTTTGGGACACAGGGCCAAAGAAGGGGGTTGTTTTGGAATTTTGGAAAAATAAAGGGTTTCATTTAATAGTTTGTTTAAATGTTTATAAGCAACCCTGTGAGTAAAACAGTCAATATGGCTTATCTTTTTTTTTTTTTTACACATGCATTCATTTTTTCCCAACATTATAATTACCATGCCTTCAAAAATATAAGCTCTAGTAAAAAATTGCAACAAGAGGGTACAGAATTACAGATGGCTAAGACATGTTGAAATGAAAGTTGTGTATTGATGTCTGCTTATGGTGGTATGCAGGGCCCCCTTTCATCAACATTCCCAATAGAGAACAGGAACTTTCCGGTTACAACAAAGGCTGTGAAGACTCACCTTGAGCGAACTAAATCTCTTCCGTTTGTGAAGAGAATATCTGATTTCCATTTGCTGCTCACCTTGGCTAGGTTTCTGGATATAAATGCCGATATTCCAGCGTTAACCCAGTGTGTACACTCACAGACAGCTGTCCCTGAAGGATACCAGCTTTTGATAGAGTCCATAGCAAATGCTGGTGTGTGATTTTCCCAGCAACAGAAGTTGGTTGCTTCATTTCACTGCACTAATCATATGCTGTTTCCATGATGGTTCATGGGGCCTTTATTGAGGCTGTCACCCTGTTATGCCTTAGTTGATGCAGAGTACAGTGGTTAATGGAGCAACTACATGGTCATCTGTGTTCCAAAACAGACCTTGATCCTGCAGTGATGTCTCACTTTATTGTCAAGAGTGCCGTGTTTATGACTTTATGAATTTGAGGATCAGAAAAAGGTCTTTCAAAATTTGCAACAATGTTGCTTCAGAAGTTGCACTTTCATGATGTCATTGTATAAATTATATTTTTATTGCGTTTACTATGCCATTGCACAATTTAGAATCAGGTAAATATAACATAGCAAAATTTCTGGGAACTGCATATTGCATAACACTTTGAAGAACTGGTTATTTTAATTAATAAATTGTACCTTATTCACTAAATTGCTTTATCATAGATCTGTGTTACCTAGCGTTGTCGGCCAGAGTTCACAACTAGATGGACATCAGCGTCAACTTGTCTGAATATATTAGGAGACTTAACAATACAAGTACTAGTAAAATCACTGTCATCAACAAATAAACTGGTCATAGCTTGCCTCATGCGCTTGACATTTTTTTGAAAACAAATACACTGGTAGTTTGGTATAAAATGGCAAAAAAGAAAACGAATTTAGAAAAATAAAATATTAAAGGGTTTTCCAAAATAAAGAGTAAGAAAATGGAAAAAACTCAAGAGACCTCTCAAAATTACGAACCGACATAGGATGTTATCATAACTTAATGAAATATTGAATGAATAATGTATTGATTTTTTATATCCCTATATTTGGATTCTTAGTCCTTCCACTTAAAAAGTTGTATAAGATAAAAGTGAATGATAACGAATTGATAATGCGTTGAATTTTATATGTATTTGAATTCTTAGCGCTTCCATGGCTAATTCTTATATGATTTTGTTCAATCTATTTTCTTCGTTAATTTTCATCCGTAGATACAATATGATGGAGTTTTATAGAGTAAAGAAGAAGGATCTCCATATAGTTTTATTGATTTACAGAGATTTATTTGTTCTTTCATAAGTGGTCACACGGTGTGGCTAGCCACACTCAAGACTAACTAGTTCTTTTTATTTATTTAATTTTTTTTTTTAAGAATCATAATATAGCCATTAATTATGTAGGTATGTGAGCTACTACGTATTACATCATAAATCATCCAATGACATGATCTATTCTCACATATATATGAGTTTCACATTGAGAGTTTGAGACCCATTCTCATGTGAATTGGATTGCTTTTCCCTCATTGTGAACAAAACTGCTCAAAAATCCATCTAGCACTCGTAGATCTAGTTCTTTCTACTACTACCACAAAAGTTGAGTTCAAAATGCAATAATCAAATAACATAATAACACCACCTACATGGCTGCATCAATGGTCACGATAATTATTACTCCATATTCATTTATAAACAACCTTTACTATTCCTGCTAATCAAACTAGGAAGGCAAAGATGTTGAAGATGTGCTGACATGTAACATTTGGTAAAGATAATCAAGCCAGCAGCAAGATGCAACAGATTGCAATGAGAAGTGTCATCATTGGGACAATCTTGAAAGGGTCAATCGTAGTTTAGGCACTGTTAGGTCTGCATCTCCGAAACCATCCATGACAGCAACTGCTGATGGGAACTCTGCTCTGTATGTCAAGCTGAAATGAACATTGAAACACAGTCAGGTATGTCAAATAAGTAATGAGTCTAAATATACTCAACATTTCACAAAACTGTACTCAAACGACCAAATCTGAGAGTTGAGAAAGTAGTCTGAAATTCTTAATTTCATTCCAAACTCTAAAATTCATAGCTTCGCATGTTTCCATATAATGGTTGAACTTTAACTTTTCAAGCATGTCAATGTAAATCTTTGAACAATAATATCTCAAATTATGCATATGTAAAATACTTAGTATTATTACTTGTATTATATACTTAAAAGCAAACTTTAAATATTATTATTTTGTTATTAAAACTGCAATACAACTTTTTTATAACTTCAACCAGTATGACGACGAAAATGACATCGCTAAATATATTATTGAAGCATAGTAAAGCCATCTTTATTGTTTCGAAGTGTGTGTTGTGGAATTGTGGCTATGGAAACAATATTGTCGGTAAATGATTCGTGACGAATTCGTCAAATTCCACATTTGATTTTCATTAGGAAATCATTGTTATAAAAGGATTTATTTGTGGATGTTTAGTTTTGGGATGAAAATCTAGACATGACTTATATGGGAGTATGTCACACATGAGTCATTAAAGATCTTCTCCTATAGCATTATTGTTGATGTGAATGTGTTGAAGAGACTACTCAATAACAACAACAACAATAACCACCACCATCCATCCTTCTTGGGCACAAGGATGATATCCGAATTCTGAAATCCCACCAAAGCCTTCATCCAAAAATGGGGTTTAGTTACATAAACCAAATAATATCTCTGGTACTCACCAATCATGATCCTCTCACTAAGGAACTACTTATTGATTACTCCGTACTATAAAAACAAAAATGTGAAAAGTGTTTGAGTGACAAATGTTTATCTCATCCGGATTGTAATTCCTTTTTGCCTCGTATTAGCATTCTTCACACCTTGTGATCAAGGTAGACCTCCAGATGTAAAATTCTCGTGGCCTGTGAGTCTAACTCCTTTTTGCCTCGTATTAGCATTCTTCACACCTCACGATAAAGCCTTAGTGCATACCCTGATAAGTGATGTTAACAAAATTACAAGCATACTCACTGGGGAGCATGCTTAGACAGCAAATGTGTTTACTAAGGTCCTGTGTTCAAGCCAGTTCAATGAATTATTGTCCAATCTAGGCATGATTGCTACCATGCCTAGTTGGAGGGAGGGTATTGAACATATGAAAAATATGAGAGGCAGTACACGTGGAGATGAAGGGAGTGCACTGCAATAAGGTGAGTCAGCAAGCAGAAAAGATGAGCAGCTGAAGTTTGTTAGAAAATAACTCTCCCCCCTGAATTCCATGAATTTAGTTAGAAGCCAAAAATTGTAATAGAAACGGCCTTTAAGCTTTCTGTTTTTTTTTTTTATAGAAATCTTGTAAGAGTATTTTTCTCTCAACAATCAGTTTCATCTTCTTCAATAATATCTTACTCCTAGTTTTGCCAGAGCAGTGATGGCCTAAATCAATGTGTTCATTGTTCTTATTTTGATAATTTTCTGCAATTTTGCATGATTTTTGCTGTAAACCATTGATAAATTATTATTAGAAAATGGAAGTGTAAACAAAAATTTAAAGAGTGGGTAAGGTAGATTTTAAAGACTGCCAAAGTATGGCAGAATAGGTCTCTATATACAAATCTTAAAACTTTACGACTGTTGGCAATTTAATTTTTAAAATTATTTTCATATGTAGTTGTTTAAATGTACAAGTTACAACTTAAACAGGCTAATTTCCATTTATTAAAAGGCTGAGAGGGATACACAGCGTGTCTCGACTGGTTAAGCTGACACACTCCCATCGACAGCGGCATTTATTTTATATTTTTTCACTTTCAGCAATCAAACAACGTGTTTTGAAGCTGCATCATTTAATCATTAAACAGAATTGACAAAGAGATTATCCGTTAAAGCTTATTTTATAAAATGGTTATCTTTATCCTAAACCATCCCTACTAACTAGGAATTTGCTACCAAAGAGTATAACCCATAGTCATGAGTATTTTCAATACAGGACATTAAGCCAAGAACACACTATACCTGTTTCTGAGAACAATGCATGGCATGCCTGTAGACTCAGCAGCAGCAATTAAAGGTTGACTTCCAGCAACAAGCACACAATTGCAGACGGGTGCTTCTGCATTTTCAGCACCTGCTCGAAGTGCAGCCGCAACCTCACGCAAACTGGTTAACACTCATCATATCAGAATATAAACTTTAAGGAATCCAAAGGCGCTTTTTTGATTAGCACATGATAGCTAAGTACAATAGTTTTCATGTCAATAATAGAGAAAAGGAAAACCTAAACCCTTAGGAAAATAAAAAATTTGATTGACACAGAAATCTGGTGTTGCACACTCCACCGTCTTTGAAAGAGTGCCCACCTTGGACCTCAATGTCAAACTTTGAATGGTAATATGAAAAGAAATAATGTAAATTCATCATTTAAAATTACATTGTTAGACATAAATCAAAAACACATGATTTTTTCACTAGAAAAATGAAATGCTACTACATTTATGATTAGTAATGGTCAAATTTTTACACAAAAATCCAACATGGAGAAGCTTTCAAGGATCAAGAGAGGGTGTAAATAGTACTTGTACTACACATGGATAACCGGATAAGTGAGCGTTAGGATGCATCAAATCCTCTCTACTCTGCATATTGTCCTCTATCCCAATATCCTACAATAAATACATTGTACTCTAGCTCCCAATGGGACGCTTGTAATGTCACTTACTAGGGCTGATTTGAACATGGGAAAGGACGAGGCTTGAATGTTTGCACCAACCGAGACTAAGCATCACTCTATTTGATTTGTTAGTTTGGAGTTTAGTATGTTCTATGCTAATTATTTGACATTCATTTATGCTCTACTTGCTTGTTTTGGAAAATTATCGAATCTTTGAATAAATGATTTAATGAGGAAACCACTATCTTATTTCCTCTTGTTAGGACAAGCAATAAGCTAGCTTGGGGGATTTCAATCAATCAAAGCTTTAATCCCATAAGCTAGCTTCGGGGATTTGATGGTGAATTTTTAATCCACTTTAAGTAGTGTATGTATTTCGTTTTTATAGTCTTTATTCTTATTTTACCCCTTTTCTAACTCATTTTGATACAATAGTAGTGTCTTCGGTCTTTCCATCCTTGTGTGTTTGCTCATGTTTAAGGATGAGTTGTAGTTTTGATTAAGCTAAAGAATACCCAAAGAAGTGCCCACCATCAAACGAAGCGGGCACTCCTAAGCCATGCTCCACCTAATGCCCACTTGTGCAAAGTTTCACTGATGCTTGTTGTGTTCAATTGACGATAGTCAATGCACATTCTCCAACCCGTGACAAGTCGGGTTGGGATCATTTGATGCTTGTTATTTTCCACTATCGTCATACCGCCCTTCTTAGGCACTAATTGAACCAGGGATACCCAATCACTATGAGCTATTGGGTATATGATCCACGCATCAAGTAGTTTGGAAACTTCCTTCCACACAACCTTATTCATGGAAGGGTTAACTTTCCTTTGATGTCATCCTCCTTTAGATGAACTCTATGCATCCAAAGCGCGGGACTAATACCTTTGATGTCATCAAGAGTATGGCCCAAAGCTTTATATTGCTTCCTCATAACATCATCGAATGATGGGATAAGTGTCATTGGATTCAAGAAATGCATACCTCAAGCTCGAAGGTAAATGTTTCAAGTATACCTTTGGTGCTTCCTAACCATGAAAAGCCAATTTCTTTTCCTCAACTTGGTAGAGATTGTAGATGGTGAGCTCTTAAACATCCTCTTCCATCTTCTCATCTAGTTCGTTCTCATACGAAAGCATCTTATTTTAGTGTTCACTTACCTTGTATGTACTAAGGGGATCATTAGTATGATGCAAATGCATAGGATAGAAATCATCCATTACGGAATCAAGGACGTCAACTCGATGGCAATCACCACAAGAAGAATGTTGACGCAAGAGGATATTCATGATCGCTTGAAATGTTAATAGGGAATGTGGTGGGGTAAGATAGTTTTTTGCACATGAGGATGTTTGCTGATAGGATGATTGTTTTGATGTAGTTGGTGAATGTTTGTTAATTGTTCCATGAAGCGTTAGTTTTATTGATGTGATGATGATGATGATGCGACAATGGTTGTGATGTATTTCCCTCCTTTCTCTTGACATTGTAATTTAATTCCCCATAATCCAAACTTGTGGATAGCTTCTTGTTAGTTCTTTTTCTGTTTGTTTATAGTTTTAGTTCTTTTGTTCTTGTTTACTAACCATTCCATGTAGGATAATTCTTTGTGTTTTCTAATCTTATTTTGTAGGATACAATTGAAAGCTTGGAGTAGATCAACAAGGTGTAATGCTTTTGTTACGTTCATGGTTCCTAGTTTGCCTCCTAGTTGGTGAGATCGTCCTTGGTTAGCCTTTTTTTCTTACTTTTCTCTTTGTCTGCTGAGATTAGGTTGTAGTTAGGACGAAGTTGAATGGTTCGAGGTTGTGTACATTGATTTTACGGAATCTGGTGGTCTTGGCGTTGTGGCCGAACAACCTTTGTTTGCTGCTTGGATTTAGTCGCTTTATATGTTTCCTTGAATGTTTGGCTTTGTTTCAACAAAAAAAAAAAAAAAAAAAAAAAGATTTTCTTTTATTCAAGACAAACCACGTGAATTTTGTTTATTCATTTTCAAATTGAGCATATTAAAAGATGGACTTGTGTGTTTAAATGCCTCAAATCTTAAGCATTAAGAGTTTGCACGCTGTTGTTTTGCCTTTGGTTGACTCTAGGATATGCCTATGCTAAGATAGTTGTGTTAAGAACTTGTAAGGCCTACCGAACCTAAATTCACTTGTTTGTGTTAACATAATGTTGCTCTCATTAAGGGATTTGAAGCCCTAAAGGTAGTTATTATAACCCGATGTGAGTTCTTCGATCAAGAACTTGACATGACCAAAAATCGCGATCGAACTAAATCTAAAGAGAAAAAAGACATTTCCTTTTAGCGACTTCTTTTTATATCTAGGACTAGTTTTTCTTTTTGTAGTTTCTTTGTGTTTTTGTTTGCATTTTCCCTCTTTGCTAACCAATTGAGTCTGTCCCTCCTTCATTTTGAGCAAATTACAACCCTTTAGGCCTTCCTGTTTCGTTTTCATCCTTAGTTTTTATGAAGATTTTTAGTTGTGTACGTTTGTGTTGTCTCCTCATTTTGAAGTGTTGAAAAATATTGCTAGCTTAGAATGGAAAGAAAAGTTGTTTTGTGAGTTTTTGTCAAATAAGGGATAAAGCAAAAGCAAGAAAAAGTCATCCAAAGTTAAAAACGCCAAAGACAAGTACAAGTTGAATGTAAAAAATAAAAATAAAAATAAAAAAGAGAGAAAAAAATAATGATTTTTTTTGGAAAAAGAGGTGAAAAGAATTAAAATTTCAAAGGTAGTTATGGGCAAGTTGGACAAAGATTGTGCTATTTTTGTTTGAAAGTTGGAAAAAGGTTTGATCTTGAATTAGAGGCTTCATCATCCTTTGCTTCACAATTAGGCTTAGCACCAATTTCCAAATTCTTCCACACCTTTACCCCCTAGGCTATGTTACAACACTTTAAAACCCTTTTGACTTAGATTTTAAGTCACTAGTCGACGGAGGGAGCTAGATTTCAAGCATATGGAGAGAACATAACTTGGTAAGATATCGGGTTCCCCTTGTTCTTATTTTCTTATCTTTGTTCCGGCTTTTTCGTGGAGTCAATAGATACTACCTCGAAGGGTGGAGAACACTGTAAGAATGTTTGGAATACAAGGGGAGTGGAGCATGTTAGAGTTCTCTATGCTAAGAATTCATCCTTCAATCAACCTTTGGCATCCACTTACGTGCTTACTTCTATTGCTTAGTAAGCTAGTCATTCATCTATGCTTTACTACCTTAAAAGTTCAATTGGATCATGATTTGTGTTGTGATTGTTGTTTATCTTCGTTTCCTCTTTTCCTTGTATTTGGTTTGTCTTGAACACATTTCGAGAGTTGGGTGTTAACCTCTTTGGAAACCCTCACGAGAGCATACTCGTCCTCATTGGCGACTTCGGGGTTTAAATGGCTTGTTGTTTATGCTAAAAACAACCGTGAGTCCTACACAAGTGACTTAGTGTAAATCCTTTCTTTTCTTTCTTTCTTGTTTGAATAAATCACCGTTCTCCCTCGTGTTTTGTTCCTGTTTTGCTCAAGGGCGAGCAAAAGCTTAGCGTGGGAGAGTTTGATGAGTGACATTTATGTCACTCCTAGGCTAGGTTTTATGTTTAGTTTTTCTTGTTTTCACAAGCTTTTTAGTTCAATAATACTCTTGTAGCACACTTGTTTGTTTGATGAAGAATATGCATGTTTACACTCGTTTCTCGATGATTTTGATGCATTCTTTCATCATTCCCTCTCTCCCGTTAGTTTTGTTGCCTTTAAGTAGGTTTCATGGCATTCCCGAGCTTATGAAGGTTTTCCTTGGCCGAGCTAGGAAGCATAGGAGAAGGCATAAAGCTAAAAGAAAGAGGAGAAGAATAGAAGAAGTGGCCTTCAAGCAAGAGGTTCACGATGTTGGCCTGGAGGTTCGACCAAACCCCTTAGTAGTTCCGTCAAATTTTTCCATAGGCTGATTTGAAGATTTTTGGTTTTTGGAGGTTCGACCAAACACCCAAGAGGTTTGCCGAACTAGGCACAGAACCTACCCTCTGTTGGGTTAACCATTTCCAGAATCCAACCTCTTTTTGTAAGGGCTATATAAGCCTTTAGTTAAGACATTTTTAACACAACTTAGACTAGCTTAATCCTAGGGTTCTTAGCTTAATTTTAGGAAGAGAAACTTATTTTAGCATTTTTAAGATGATTTTGTGATCAATTTTAGCACTTTGAAGGTTAATGAAGCTTTCTAAGTAATCTCTTTAACTCTTATCTATTCTTTTAATACTTTTATGCAATCTCAATTTCTCTAGTCTTTCTAATTACTTGTTAATCTCTTTATTTAGTTCTTAATCATGTCTAGCTTTGTTGATTAACTTGATGTTCACCATGTTTAGAGAGAAGTTCTTTAAATAAGGGGATGGTGATGGCTTAGCTTAGATCTTAAGCATGTTAAGGGTTGGGATTAGGGTTTGTGATTTAATTCTTTACTTTTCATGATCTTCCAATTATTTCTCTTAAGTGGCCAATTAATTGTTGTAATTAGGTGAGTTAAGCTTAATCATGACGATAGTATGATTGGGTGTGGTTCATTAGATGATTTGTTCTTTATTTACCTCATTTCATGCTTGATTATGATGATAGTGTAATTATGTATGCATGAGAAAGCAATTGGCCTTGATAGGAGGTTAGATTGTGCTTTTAATCATCGATTGTGAGTAGTTTCGTTTGCTGTCCCTTCCCATTTCTTATCCCTTGGCATTGCTTAAGTGTTAGCTTCGTTTGACCCATTTTCTTAGTATTTTTCCTATTTGATTTCTCCCTTCGATCATCCGTAGCTTGCTTAGATATATAGTCGTCTTGATAAACTTTCAAGTTGGCTTAATTATTGATAGTGTTTTGTGTGTTTAGCTTCTCCTTGTGGTTTGACCCCTTTACTTGCCCTAGGCTCGTTTTTGGTTTGTTTGGGAGATAAATTTCATTTGATTTAGGGTGAATGGCAACAACATATTTATCCCCTTCATCAGTGTGTGTCTATGAGTGTGTGTGTGTGTGCATAGAGAGGAATTTTACAAAAAAAAATTCATAAAAATAAAAACCTTTCGGGTGTGCCAGTGTTGATATCAACGCGCAGCTTCAGCATGGATGCTACCTCCTCAACAATCCTTTTTTTCTCTGCAGCAACTATTCAACAGCAGACCACTAACACTTAAGCATGCAAACATCAAAAACTAATACATGGTATATAAATAGAGAAATCACCTGCTTTACTTGCTTCATTAGCAAGTTCCTCATCCAGACCCGAGAACTTTCCCAAACCAAGTATAAATTGCCCATACAAACTCTCCTCTATCTCTTTTTTCCCAATAACTTTTACCTTCAACATCCTTCCTGGGCCAAGCTTCTCAACAATTGCTCTAAGTCATAAAAAGACTAACTATCAACATTAGGCAGTCATAAACAGTAGGTCATGGTATTCAAATAACATATTCATCATTTTCAAGTGTGTAATTTTTGAACTACAATTGCGTATTGGTTTGGTTAACTTGAATATTTCTAATATAAATTTAAACAGTTTATGCACCTGTAGCTCAAAACTTGTTCACCCTGAAAATGATGAAACTACAACTTAAAAATTATGCACCTTAAGCAGAGAAATAATTTACCTACATCTCAAAAGTGTGTATACAAAGCAAGAGACATGCTAGGGGGTGTTCACGATCTAGTTTGGTACGATTTGGCAACTAAACCAAATCGTAAAATTATGTTTTGAGATTTTTAAAAACCGAATCACATAGCAAAAAATGATTTGGTGCAATGAGGTCCAATTAGTGGTTTAATCACATTTAAAAAATAAAAAATAAAAAAAATAATCCCACCAAGATAGCTTCTATTTTAATTCTTTTTACATGGTGATGGTTATAAATTTATAATGGATGTATGGATAAGTGGTAACTTTATCCTACGTATTTCACCTCAAGTACCCGTGTCGGACCCTTGACACTTGGACATGGATATGACCCTCCGACACTTCTATTCAATCATGGAAATTTTCCAATACATAGCCGGCTTGGACACTTGGACACGTATCTGTGTCGAATTGAGCAATTGATTCATCTTTAACAACAATTGTACAAACCATATTAGTGGTCTAAAATGGTTTGATGATTCATCATGGTTTTATAAGGATGATTGTGTACTAATACTATCTTGGGTACACAGAAATTTCATCTTCAACAACACAAAAATGAACCATATTAGTGCTGTAGATGATGAACCAATTCAAAGAGCCTAGGATTCCCCGGAAGATAGAGGCAAGATAAGCCAATCCGCTATTCTGCCTTAGCGCAGACGGATCACTCGCGGCACACACGTTATATGCTCGATGATTCCAATGCGCTTTGATTTCATTTCTTCGCTTTCGGAGATTGTCTTACTTTCATAACATTTGACGCTATATATGTTAAGATCATTTTTTTTTTTAATACGAACAAGAAGAACGAGGGGGGTACTCCCCCCGTGGAAAGACTGCAGATAGGGCTCTAATACCAGAATGAAGATCCAAGGCCTTCCCCCTCCCCTGATTCTATTGGCGAACGAGAAGGTCTAGTCAGAGCCACCAGGTTTGGAACAAAACAGTCTCGCCGAAATCAGGAACAAGGGATAAGCAAAGTGAGAGTGTAAAACAGAGGCAGTGATCTACATTCATAAACATTTGGATAAGCATATACAGGAATACAGCAAGAAAGTGAAACAAAAGTAATTAAACGGGGCATGAAGGGTGGGGTAAGGGGAAGCTAGAGAGATAGAGACTACTAGGCTAACCAAGAAAAAGAACACGGTGAAGACTAAATGAATCCAAAACACTATTAAATTTAATGAAAGGGCAAGGATGATTAACTACGTGGCCTTCACTGAAATTTCATCTTCAACAACAACAATACAAAGTATAAGATCAAGTCATGAGCAAGCTGCTTGAAAACATTGAAAATTTATTGCAAGAAACTGTACCTATGAAATTGGTAGACAAATCATATAATTTCAAGTACCAAACATTGTGAATGTTCCTCTACAGTTGAATATACAGTTTCTAATGACTCAAAAAATATAATAATCCCTGTATTTCGTAATAATCGCAACACTTTCCTTTTTCATCCGTTTCATAATAATTGAAACACTTCCTTATTTGGTAAGGATCCACTAATATTTTATAGTTACTCTCTCCTACCAACCCCACTTGTACTACTTTTTAATTATTTCTCTCTTCTATTTACAATTAATTATACTTCATTAACTATACTTTATATTATAAAATTTCTCCTTTGGTCCCCATCCTATAATTCTCTTAAAACTTTGTGCCTTCCCTAGTGTTGCGATTATTACGAAACGAAGGGAGTACATCATTTACAAAGTTTCTGGCATTGCTCTAAGAGTCTATGCACAATTTAGACAACAAAAATGACTTCTTGAAATATCATTCTTGACTCAATAAGCTCTAAAAGATTCCACAAAGCTTATAAAGAATGGAAAACAGACCTTGCTGTCTCTTCCCCAAACTTACTGGATGCTGTCAAAATAACAACGCATATTCCTTCGTCACATGCATCATCAATAAATCTGAAAAATAAATAAATAAATAAATAAAACAAAGCAAAACAAAACATAAAAAGGAACCAGAAGCAGTATGACCCTCTAAAAAGAAACATTAGGAGATGCTTTCAAATCTCTAATTAACATATTCACATAACTTAAGCTAATATCTAGCATGGATTTATTATTTTGACATTCCCTCATCAAAATTCAAAAGAATTTAAGATGTAATCAAAAGACTAAGATGCTTACTTTTCAACCCCAGGTCGTAAAGGTGTGTTCTTTGAACTCATAAATTCAGCCAACGCCTTCTTCTGTGAATTGTAAGTCAATATCATATTCAGCATGTGTTGCAATCAACATGAAATAATTATATATAAAGGGAGCAAATCAAAATATACATGAGCATAAGACTAACAGCATCTAGTGTTTCCCATGATAATAGGACAAAAAAATCCTTTGGCTCTTCAATTGTTATCATGACAACTGTATACTATATCAAATACAGTTGATATAAATTATGAAAATTTTATCAAATACAAATTATGAACTAAAGCAAGCTGTATGGTAAACTAAAAGTCACTTGATAAAAAAAATAAAATTAAATAAAAAAAATAAAATTAAAAATTGGCCGTACGATTACCTTAAATTTCCAGAAACTTAAGTTTAACTACTAGAGCACTTTGACGGATTTTGATAAATGGTAACAAAGACTTAAATTTTCCGAACTATTATGTTAAATACTTCATACATTAATATTTTCAGATATAAAAACACTAATTTTAAAAAATATATACGGTAGTATTATTACAGCATTAGAACAATATCTTAAAACTCCTAATCTACTTTGATCAAATACTCCACCACTTCATTATGTTTTATTCTCTCTATTTATAATTGAAGTGGAGGTGAAGGTGTCCACCTAGAAAAACTTATTTGCCCCTCATTGTTATTTAAACACTACTATAATAAACACGTTTCCCATATAATTAAGATATCTCTTGCATTTAATTCACATGGCTCCAAAGAAGGCAAATCATCAAAATATAAATCATAAAAGTAATTTATCAATCAAATCCACGTGAATCACTCATTTAACATCGAAATGGAACATAGTCTCAACTTGCCAATAAACTAATTTTACTTTTGAGAAGACCTTAAAAGATGGATTTATATCTGATTGTACGCCTAAAAGTTATTATATCTAGATATATGATGTTTATATTTTGAGAAATTTTACATAATGACCTCCTAGAGTAAATATTCTATTTGGACAAACCTTTTTTTTTAGTTCTCTGTAGTGGCACTCTAGCTTTGTTAAACTCGCTAAAGTGGCTTAAATGTCATTAAATTGACTAACCAACACTTAAATGGTTCATTATCTAACCAAAAGTAATTAAAAGACTAACATCCCTCAAATTAATCCTTCCTTCAAACAAATAAAAAAAAAAAAAAAAACCCACCATCCCCCCAACCCCCACCTCCACCCCCACCGGCCAGCCACCTCCTCTCTCCCTTTTCCCACCAGGGACCCACTTGCACCCCCATCCCTCCTCTCTTCCCGCCGGCGACCCCCAACCCTTCCCATAATCCCTGAACCCACCACACCTCTTCCCCGACCACCGAACAGCCCCTCCTCCCTTTCTTCCACCCCGAAACAACTTCCCTCGCCATTTAGGGGTGGGAAAAAGGGAGGGGGGATTTTTCGGTGGGGGAAGAGGTGCGGCAAATTTAGGATTTAGTGAGAGGCTGGGGGTCACTGGCAAGGGGAGAGGAGGGCTGGGGAAAGGGTAGGGTTGGGGCAAAGGGAAAAGGGAGGGGGTGGGTCGCCGGCAGGGGAGCTGTTGGCCGGCGGGGGTGGGGGCAGGCAGGGCGGGAGGGGGGAGTCGGTAGTGGCTGGAAAAGGTGGTGACGGTGTATTTTTTAATTTAAAAAATAAAATAAGGTTAACCATTTTAATTATGAAGGTTAGCCATAAGATTAGTTTGCCTCTTGATAGAATTGGAAAAAGTTTGTCTTCCAAATAAAATTTTTGTTTCTAGGAGGCCACCATATAGAAATTCCCTTAAATTTATGGGGAATACCATGTTGCTTAGAAAACAACTAGTATGATCATAAAATTAGATGTTAATATATCATACAATTTGAAGTTAATTTTTATAATGTTGCATATTATTAAATAACAATGTGCTTCATAATTATCTTAACACTTTTGAAATAACTTTAAACAATTTCAAACTTTACACATCAACAAATGTATCACATGCATATACGGCTAACATTACAATTTACAACTAAGAGCTTATAATTTTTAACATGTTTCATCAATTGGAATAAATGTGTTAAATAATCAATCTCAACGCTTTTGAAAATAATTTTAAATAATTTTAAACCTTACAATTAGCACATGTATCACGTGTCCATATACGTCTTACATTACAATAAAGGCTAGAGAGGAATAAATAATGCCAATTTTACAAGTGATATTTGAGTACCATTAACATTATTACTTCCTTAGTTTTGATTTCCATAAATTTTACACACACATCGCGTGCATATAAAGCTAATATTATATATTACATCATATATGGAGCAAAGAGATTTAAAGAAACAATTATGTGCAACCTCATGAAACTTCAAGCAAATAGATCGTAGCCATTCATAAACATGTGTAGGATAATAAAAGATAAAAAATAAAAAATAAAAAATAATAAAAACAATAAAAAAAAAAGGAAAAGCACCTTTTCCTGTAAAACACTTTTCATAAAGGTATCCTTATCACTGGTCGGCAGAGATGTAGGCCAACCAATCTGTCAAAAAAAAAAGGCAAGAAATACAAATGTAAGATAAAATAAAAATTAGAAAAGAGGGACAACTGAAAATGAACAGCTTAACGAGTAACCATGCCATATATTTTAAAGAGACAACCAAGAAACTTCATATCTGTATTAGGCACCCAAACTCTTGATGTCAAGCTTTTGATCTTCCTACGTAGTCAATTCAATTCACTTAGAATAAAAAGGAAATTATTTTCATAGCACATATCCACCAACATATATAACTTGCAATGAAAAAAAAAAAACAATGATAATAATAATACAATAACAATAATTCACAACATACCGCAGCTTATTTTTCATAACACATAACCACTCACAAATGATACGTGCAATGACTTTTTGAAAGGAAAAAATAAAAGAAAGAAAGAATAGAACAACCTGAATAAGAGAGAGCCAATGATAAGCTACAATGCCTCATAGCTTGCTTTCCCACATCAACGTTTTAAAGCTACTACCCTTTTAACTAGAACCTACTCCAATGCTAAGCTACAAGATGTAGCTTGATTTGCCACATTATTATTTCTAAGCTGCAAACTACTCTAGTGATTAACTATAAAGTCCTGTAGCTTGTATTTAAATTTTATTTATATGGTATATGAGGAGCTGAAAATTTGCCCATATGTGAGTTGAGAATTTCAATATCAAAAATTAACATGCGATTATAGTACTTGGTATTTTAGTTTGAGCATCAGTTACTTTATAAGTGCCCACTATTATTAAAATCTACTTTGTTTAAATAATTACAAAAGTTGTAATTCTCCGGTATTTGTATACTTGCACCGTGAAATAACTTACTTGCAATTTGACTATTTGAGCTTAGATTAGATATTTTAATTAAGAATATTGAAAAACTTTCTCCTTAAATAGTGATTTATTCGTGTAGTTTGCAATCAACATTTGGTAACCTTAAATGAAACAAATTATAACAAAAAAAATTCTCTATAAAAAGTTAATTTTAAATTTCACAAATAGCAATACAAATGATGGCTTCTAAAACGAAACCATATATGCCTCGAAATTCATTCATACCCTTGATGAATATCCTCAACAATGCTTGGTGAAAATTCATTGTCAGAAAATTGTACGTTATAAGTGTGATGCTCGTCATCAACAATCATATTGTATCATATAATACATGTATCCATATATCGCAGATATTGTGTTTATGCCAATAACATGAAACCCACGAACTATAGCAAAAGGTTAGAGTATTCTAAATGCTCATCAAACACCTTTCCTTGCACTCTCATGCTTTTCCCTAAAAAAGCCTCTTCAAGTCCCTAGGATGCGACATTTTTTTAACAAATGTAACACACTCATGATAGATACCATCTACAAACTATTATATCTAGTTCATACTCGATGTCATTAATAATGAAATGAACCTCTGCGATTTTTCGTGAAACAAATTTCATCTGCATAGCACATTAAGGTTGTTGTTTGATCCAACAATACCAAATCATGGGTGCCATATCCAAACAGTCTTCCCTTTTCCATTGTAATACTCGACAATCTTTTTCCAATAATCCACCTTACTTTGCTTAATGCCTTTGTTTGAATCAGCTTTGAAATTTAAACAACTCATGCATAAATTTTCTTCCACGTATTGGCTCCACGTAATTATTTTGTCGACATGTGGCTTGCACATTGACCTCTTGTACGTTTTCTCTTTGCGACCCTTGAAGTGGAGATTCATGGTGCATGAAGAGGTCCCTACACTTTCTCTTCTTGTAGCATCACGAACCACATAAGATTCACTCAAAAGTGGAGGTTAAGGATAGTAACTCGACAAATTAGGTGCATATTAGGCCTTGTATAAGGGTAACAAAATCGAGGAGGTAGTGCATTTGAGGATCGTAAATATGTGGTTGCCTTAAATTATTAGGAGGGTAAAAAGTTTCATGGTGATTTCAAGGATTCAAAGTGTAAAAGGGCAAGTTTATTTGTTGGTGAAGGGAAGTCAACAAACAAGCTTAATTCCAAACTCTCCACTATGTAGCTGCCTCAGCCAACAACACCCACTCTACTACCCACTTCATGGTGATAAAGCTCAACCTAAGAATACTCAAAGTGTTTAATTATATTTTCATACTCAAATGCAAGAAGCTAATTAATACAAGAACCTAACTATTGTTGAATTTTGATATTGTTGAGATAAGGCGGACGACTAATTGCTTTCTTTAGTAAGAAACTCAATAAGTCAATGCGAAAGTACTCAACATACGAGAAGGAATTCTATGCCATTGTACGAGCCACTATCTTTAGTCTAAAGAGTTTTTGCTCATGGAAGCATCTTCCAAGCCAACAAAAACGTCGTCATGCAAGATGGAGCGAATTTTTATCTCCTTTCACTTCGTCCTGAAGTACAAATCCAGGACGTAAAACAAGGTTGCTGATGCCTTAAGTAGAAGACACACCTTGCTCTCTACTCTTATTGGTTTTGAGGTCCTCAAAGACGTATAAGAAGATGATGAAGACTTTGGAGAAATTTGGTAGAGTTGTTTAGAAGGCCCTCACTGCCAGTTTCATTGACAAGATGACTACTTATTCAAGGGAAATCAATTGCGCTTGCCAAGATGTTCACTACGCGAGATGATACTACATGAGTATCATGCTAGTGGTCTTGCTAGCCATTTTGGTCGTGATAAGCCATTGGGCATTGTTAAAGAAAATTTCTATTGGCCACGTATGGTTCGTGACATATCGATCGATATGCCAAGTGATGTTGAGCATGCCATATTGCCTAAGTCAAAATATTGGTCTTTACACGCCATTGCCGATGCCTAATGCTCCTTGGGAAGATGTACCCCGTACCCAACGCAACAAAGATTCCATAATGATCATCTAAGGGATTGTGGAATTCTTTCACAATTAACTCCTAAACACCACAATTAAACTCATGTGTCAGAAATGAGAAATCGAACATTATGAGATATGGTTCGATCCATGATGAACATTAAGATGTCAACTAGACAATATAATATACACATTACAATATGATTGTAATGGTGAAAGTTTGAGTCAAGACATTTACTTGGCAAGATATTCAAAGTATTGAGATATGATCGTAATAATGAGAATTTGAGCCAAGACCATGATTAACATCCAAGAGTTGTGAAATTGTTTTACAACATGCTCCGAAAGAAAAACCTCGTGAAGTGTTTATGAAAGGAGGTATCAATCTATATAAGATATAGTTTGATAATGGATGAAAATTACCTATCTTCCAACCATTATTCAAAGGATATACTTTTAAGATGAGCTATAATACTAAACAACCCTATATACGTCAAATCAAAATGTAGCAAAGGCTTCATATGTGATATGGATAAGAAAAGTTCTTATACAATCCTTTTACAAAACAAGGATAAAAACTGCATTAAATCGTTTAATGCACGTTCGATTACCATACAAAGCACGGGGTACTACTACACGGTTCATACTTAGTACAAAATGTTTGTTGCTCAAGTAGGTGCCCTTATGGAAAAGATGTCATTTCCAAAAGGTCAAGTGGAAGTAGTATAAATCTCAAAAAGTTCGGAAAAAAGCAACAAACAAAGATGGTTCAAACCATGGTTGATTCACCCCATACTAATGTGCCTCTTTAAGAAGGCAAGTGGGAGTATACGAATCTCGAAAGAGTTTGAAAGAATCGAAGGAGTTCGAGAAAAGTTAGTTCGATAATCTCAAAGAAGTTTGAGAAGTACTCCAATAAAAGTAACAATATGAGCATGATTCACCTTATGTTATAAATGACAACATGTGGTCTCATTAAGTGTAAAGGGAATGGTAATCATGTGTCGAAGGTAGCACATTCCAAGTGCACACCCTCTCTTGTCGTTTCTCAATGAAAAAATAAACAAGTAGTTGTATAAGTTTTCATTTGTTGCGTGAAAACCCACAAATGACTAGCATATCTAAAACTTACCAAAGAAATATGATTTCATATTGACTAAGAGTTCTAAAATATTGAATTTGGAGCATATTGATCATGCAAGTAACAAGGACGATTTAACAAGCCGTAACTCCAAGTGGTTTAAAAACCACGGAAATCTGAAATAGATTCCAAGTCTGAAAGCAAGTGTGTGACACTTTTTGCCAAATTGGGTAAAACCCATTGTAAGCAAAAACAGACAAGGAAGAAAAATGTTTTCTAAGCAAAGCAAAGACTTATTGTTAAAGAATTCAACTAATGCATAGTATGACTATGATGAAACTTATACATTAGTAATTTTGCTAAGATCTATTAAAGATACTTCTAATGATTTCTATCTTATGAGATTAGGTAGATGGGTTTTGGAAACACTTTCTTGAAATTGTTCATGAAAAAAGATTTGTATGTGATACAATCAGTATAGTTTTGAAAATCCAATAATCCTAAGGATGCATTAAAGGTTCATTTATGGACTAAAGTAAGCATCATGGAGTTAGAATCTTCCATTTAATGAGTTAATCAAATTGATTGATATGCTCATAAATGAAGATCTTGTGTATACAAAATGTATAATGGGAGCTATGCAGTCCTCTTGGTCTACTACAAAGAGCGATTATTCCATGCTTGAAAGGTCAAGTGATGGCTAATGCATTTTGTATGAAAAACCTTGAAAAGAAAGATGAGTATATTTGGGAATCAAGATCTATAAAGATAGGTCTCGAATGGTATGATGTTTGAGCTTAGTTAAGAAACTTATATTGATAAGATTCTTATGAAGATCAACATTATATTGAAAGGAGTTTCAATCCCATATAACATGGCACATTGCTTAACAAGATTCAATGCTTTGAGAAAGGTTGATGAAATTAAGGGTTTGAGTGATGCTCCTTGTGCATTTTGCAAAGGATGCATCATGCGCGTCATGGACTACACTCGTCCATTTGATTCACATGTTTAAAGAACATGTGGTGATAGATTTCAATCGAAAACCAATATAACATTGAAATACAATTTAGAAATTCCTAAATTCCTTGTGGAAGAATAAAGAAAGATTTTTAGTGCATGGAGATAAATATTATTATAAAATTTAGAAGTTGCAAAATTCATGTTTATTAGAATGTCTCATGAATTGTATTAACTAAACTATTTCAATAGCCTAAACACACAAAAGGCTCATTTGAAATTAACATAATGGTGGATGGTTTTGAATGTGTACTAGGGAGTTACAATTGCAAAATCATCAATCATGTTTCCCTATGTTTATCAATTGAAACAAAGTTTCAATCTCATTTAATCATGGTTTAGTATTAAATAAAATGTTCAAAATAATATGAATTGTTAAAATCATCAAATACTTGATTTGGTGAATGAAACCCCATAGGTGAACTGAATTCATAAATTATTTAAGTTCCTAGTTCGAAATCATTAAATTGGACATAAATGATTTCAATTAATGGACTAGCATGTAAGATTGATTGATAACGCAGTTTCTTGGGCTATATGGACATAGAAATGTTCGATTAATCACATGGATATGTATGAATGATGCATGATCGAACTATTGACCTACTTTGAAGTTGAAGTATAGAACTTCTAGATATATTAGTGGATTCCTTTGACATGAGTGAAACAATATTTTCATTCAATGATTGTTTTAACTATGGGACATCAAAACGTCATGCCGTAAAAGGGAACTATAAAGGGTGTTTCCTTGGTTACTTCAAGAGTGGGAGTTTTGGTTGCCACAAGATTGGATTGAGTCTACCTATTTAATTAGGAAATTTGTCGTGGCCTCTAAGAGGAAGAATTGAGAAAATGCATGGTCGTGCTCAAATAGATTACATAGTAATCATTTGTTTTGCAATTCTAAGTCAAATTTCAAGAAATGATTTGTAGATTAATGTGATCTCTGACATGTGATGCAATCATATTTCAAATCGACACAAATTGACTTAAGGAATTTATGTTTTTGTCAAGTGCAATTACTAGATATTTAAATGGATCAAATTATGAAGATAATTAAGTTCGTTCATTTGGGTCGTCGTTTTATCATAGCTAGAGATACTAACGATCTTTGGGATAGTAAAATAGGCCAAAGCCCAATTGAACGGATCCTATAAGGTCACACAAAGGGGCTAGATTGAGCATAAGAGGAAGAGGCCCATGATGGGCCTTCTCCCTCTAGGTGGTCGTCCATATGAGGAGTCATAAGGGGTTTGGGCTTTGTTTCCTAGTCTAATTATAATATGATTATAAATAGACTAGGTGTCTGGGGTTGAATGATAACATTCTGGGATCAATTTATCAAACCCTAAACAGCAAACACAAACCAACCCCTCTCACACGTCTCTCTCTCCTCCTTTCGCGCCGGTGGTAGTGCACGAGGGTGGTGGTGGTTTGTGGTGGTCGGTTGCCCCCAAAGGTGGTGATCGTGGTGTATTCCTCTTTCAGCCGAGCCGACCAATATAGCATTGGACGGCTCATTCGAATCTCGTAAACTAATTAGAGGAGTAACGCTTAGGGCTTTATTATCTCCCTAATTGATAGTCAATCGCATCGTGGAAATCACGCGTCAAAGGTATGAATTATGTGATTCTTTATGTGTTATGATTGTAGATCCTAATTAGGTGCGAATGAATATGATACGTGGAATTCCGCAATATAGTACCTATTTCCCTACATCTATGTATCTAAGGTTTCTCTCAATTATTCTTTAGTGGTGTATTTGTATCTAAGAATTAGTAGAGTTGTATAGTTGGAGTAGCCGACCGACGTGGTGTATTTGGCTAATTCTATCCGACCCTTACCTAGTACGGTGTCACAAGTACTTACGGAAGGACCCCTAAAGGCCTGAACGATGAGGATCCTATCCTTTTTCCGGTGAGTCACTTCAAGAACTTCTTGATAGCTAACAATAGTTAGTGACCGCAGAGGGCAATGATTGACACCTCTACCTCAATACCAATAGAGAGAGGGAGAGAAAAGCAAAAAGATAAGCATGTTGAAACTGAGGCGGCAAGGGAGATCTCTAAAGGTGGCAGTTGGTCGGTCACCTATGACACTGGTCAAAGTTTTTGGAGAGGAGGAAAACTACCATTATGCCCAATGTATAAAAAGGCTAACGGTGCAATGAGGAGATGAAGGTCCTGGTGCGCCTAAGCGTTCCTTGGTCGCGCTTTGGTGCACCTTTTTGAAGTAAAGCACACAATATAAAATAGTCCAAGAAAACTGCCAATGTGCGCCTCTATGAAGCAAAAAAAACGGAGCTCTACCCTAATTGCCTAGGCCTCTGTGCCTAGATGTACCTAATGCGCGCCTTTAATTAAACTGATCATGCCGACCTAAGGCGACATCCAGTCAAACAAGCATCCAAGGATATGTAATCAGCATATATTGCATCATTTGATAACTTATATTGACAATTTATTAACTAATATCAAAATTCTTGATATATCGACAATTTATTAACTAATATCAAAAATCAGATATTTTATATCAAGATTTAATAACTTATATTTGTCAATCAACAATTGATAAACACAACAGCAACACAAATTCAATAGCTTATATCGATATTTTAATAACTGATATAAACTACGTATTAAGTAGCTGATATATATATATCACCTTTTAATTGCTGCTATCAAAATTCCAGTAATTGATTTTAACTTTTAAACATGGTGTAAAAACAGGACTGCATCATTTTGGTTAGGTCATATTGTAAGGGATTTTCAATTGGAAAAACTTCTTTCGCGTCAAACTTAAAACTTCTTAATTACGGCCGCCTCGAAAACAACACCACACAAACCAAAAACCAGTTCGCTACAAGAGGATTATCTCTTAGTCTAAAACTTTTTAGAGCAGCACCACCACAAACAAAATCAACACACATCGCATACAACACGTGCTCTTCTAAAGGAAGTGAGTATTACGAACCCGATTAAAATATAAAGCCAGCATTTTTTCTTCATCGCCAACACCCTTCCTGTCAATGGTACAATATTATTGAGTAAATCCTGAATAATCTTATCATAAATCTTAAACAGCAGAAAAGTAGAAAAGTAGAGCATATTTATCTTGGATATGCACAGTTAAAAACTTAATTAACTTCAACTAGAGACTCCGCATCCAAAGCCAGTTATATAAAGTAGTGTCCTCCCCTCCTTTATACCTGGTCCAGGGATGGGAATCTAGGACTACTAACAGCAATTTGCTTCCTCTCCCTTCCCAGCACCAAAGACCACACCTTACTGCCTCACCATGACCAGCCATGCTACCCCCACGGCCCACACACATTCCACCAAAAAAAACTGAAGTAAAAACCAAAAGAAAGAGCAATCTCACACCTTGAAAGGTCTGAATATATAGGCTCTGTCCATTTTGCACAGTCCAGTCCGAGCTTTTGAAAAGCTGACAAATATCAGTATAATAGGAAAGTGAGGACTTACATCACCCACTCAAAAAAAGCAAGCTTATACTCTTAGTTGCCTCTTCCGCACCTACATTGAAGGCCTGACGGTTCCCTGATCGATAAGCGTCAATGAGGACCCTGAAACAACGAAAGCAACCATTGTTGGTCAAATCTTGTACTTTGTTAAAATAAGACAACCTGAGTCAATTTTATCTCAACAATCACCGAAACCAAATTATGTCCATTGGCCTTATAATATGGGCCTTTTTTAATGCATTTGTAAATGACTTCAAGTTACTGTTAAGCTAAAGCTTGCCTCTACAGTGGGGGCAGTCAACTATTGACCTTTGTTGACACGTAATCATAAGTAGCTCTCACCAAATTAGTAATTAATATCATGTTTAAGGTTTGTGGCTAGCCTTATGGGCGCATTTGACCAAAAGATTGAGGCCAAGAGGGTGCTATCATGTTCACAACTCAAGCAGCAGTACTTACAGAACCTGATACAGGAAAAAAGGGCTATTTACGTTAGCATAAGCATACTACTCAGGGGGTGTATGGTTGGGGGTATTTAACAAAGGGAAAGGCAATAAACTACCATAAATCCCTTTGATGATGTTTGTTAGACAAATTTAAAATATTTTCTATTATCTGACTTAGTATATTTACTGCCCTGTATCTTCTTGTGATGGTGAGATATATAAAGCATAGCTCCGATATATGCTGCCTACGTCTCTAAAAGATAGTCCCAAATTCTCCAATTATTTATTTTAAGAAGCAAGTGCAAATTTGTGCACATGGGTAGGCTCAATTATGGACGAAGAGATAGATAAAAAGAACAAGTGAGGTGCATGGGAATATATATTAATTTAAGATATGGAGCAATCTTTTAAGGACATCTATTTTACAATATATGGGGGCAATCTTTTAGGGATATCTATATTTAAGTATATTAGACAATCTTTTAGCAACAAATGGAGTAATGAACGGTTAATGGTATGTTCATTTTCGTTTTTTTTTTCTTGTTATTCTAGAAACTAAACAAAAAAAAATTAGAAACCAAGTGGTTTGCACCTGGTTGTCAGTTTCCAAAATTTTGATGATTCTAATAATTTAGACTAAAGTTTTAATCTTTTTATCAAATGAATCATATGACTTTCAAAACATAAAACGAAAAATTGAATACTACGATGATACCTCCTAACTAGCCCGAATAATCAACAACTAATACTCCTCTCTCTCTCTCTCGCTCTCTCTATACAAATGGTGCATTAGATGGTTGTACATGCAATTAATACAAACTAAAGTGGAAAAATTATCAAGGTTTACTCATTGCAGTCCGATGAACTAATGAATATAATCTTATAATAAAAAATCTAAAAAAATTATAAAAAAAAAAAAAAAAAAAAAAACACACACACACACACAAAACAGAAAAAACTAATGAATATAGTGGGAAGAAAATATTTGTATCCGATAATGATCAGCCCACACTAACAAACACTACAACTACTGTAGCTCTGTAATCATTCTTCTTATTTTCCATTTGTTCATTTCATGATTTCATCAGCAACCCAAATACTAAAATCCAATAATTCACATAATCGCACTCTTACCAAACAATAGCAAAATCGAAAATGAAAATTAAGAATTACGGAAGAGATGATTCATCAATTTCAAGAACAAATCTCTTAACAAACAGTAGCAAAATTTAAAATGAGTGATAAAAAAAAAAAAAAAAAAAAACAACAACAACAAAAAAAATTACCCATCAACTTCAAGAAGAACAGCAATTCGATGAGATGAGGCGTCATCAGCAGAGTTCTGAAGGGAATTGTAAGAGACTAATCGTTGGGAGAATCGACCTTTGAGACGTAAATTGAAGCTACAGAGATGAACAGATGAAATTGACGGCCATGAATGACGATGTTTTGTGGAAACTTTTTGAGAGAAATCGCCATTGATTGAGGATTTAATGAAGGACAAAGAGCGTAAAGTTGGAGTTGCAGTGACGACCTCCATTGATGAGCGCCAAGAAAATTTGGTTGGATTCTTGAGTCCTCTAAGTCCGCAATCTACTCTACAATTCTACGGGAAGTAGTAACGGAGGAATGATGCGTATATGTAAATTCATAACAATCTTTTATGAGTAATACTAAAATAACAACCGCCAACATTATTTATTTATTCAAATTATACCTGTGTTAATATTTCCTTTAATTTTTTCTCGCCTAAATTTTTTTTTTTCTCTTTCACATATTTATGGAAAAAAAATTAAATATTGACTACAAAATACTTTAATACATAATACTGTACATTAAACTCTTCACAATTTTTTTTTATATACCGTTTGACAACGCTTTACCCAATGAAACATTATTTTATGTTTTTTTATATATGTTTGGGGTAAAACTACCCTATGCCACGTGGACCAATGACATGCTGACACGTGTCAGCCTTAGAGAGGCCCAATGGGATCTAATCTTCCGCTGACATATGGTACTTTAACCCTAAAAGGGGAACTGATCCCCTTCCACTATAAATAGGGGAAAATCCTCATTTATTTCACATTCATATATACAAACACAAAAACCGAGCAATCTTAATTGCAGAATTCTCTCTGAATCAGAGAGAAAATCCATTTACTTTCCACACATTTATACATCCGAAAACGTTCTAACTTGATCGTCGGAGGCAGAACTCCACCCAACCGGAGTTTCGTGGTTTTGCAGGTACAGACGGTCGGCGCACATTCCTGGAATTGTAACTCTCCCGAGGGACTCCAAAAACCTCGAAACATTTGGCGCCGTTTGTGGGGAGAGTACTTCTGAGATGGCATCCGATTCTGTACCGCCTGGTGAGGGCAAGTGGCCTACGGCCGAACCTGAGGTCCATACGGACCAGGAGAGCGGTGACGACTTTGAGGTCGACACCTATGTGGCCCCCGATGGGTCATTCCGAACTAGGCGCACCCGTTCCAAAGAAACAAGGGAATGGGGCGAAGACAAAGTTGGTCCCAGCAACCCAGCCACCAGATTCGAGCTCATGAAATTCATGACGAGTTTCAAAGGGGAAATCAAGGACATAATAAAGAAGTCAACTGGCTCCAACAAGGGTCAGTCGACCAAGAAGCCTTCCCCCTCCGGGAAGAAGCACATCAAAGATCAGGTACCTACTCCTCACCCTAAACCAAAGGGGGCGGATAGGCCCCTAATCGACCTTTCCAGACTTCGTTTCCCTGAATCAGGGCAAAGGAAGGTCATCCGACAAGTTCAGCCAAATGGGTCAAAAAAGACTTACTCTAACGCCCGGGTGTTCATCTAGGAGAAGAGAAGTCAACAAATGTCTGAGTCGGCCTCAACGTCGACCTACCCAGACAGTTTTCGTAATACTTCAATGAAGTATTCAGAGACAAACCGAGAAATTAAAGTCAGTCACGCGGCATGTCCGCACGTACTGGCCCTCGGATTATCTAGCCGGCTTCGTATGTGCCCCAACAGCCATACATGCCGTATGGATCACCATACATGCAGCCGACCCTCTTCGGGGGACCGACTGGCAGCTCCGGCTGCTAAACCTTGGGGAACAGCCGTCGACGTTCTCTAGGGAGATAACCGAGGCGGCTTAGCTGGCCAAGGTTAAGAATGTGTTGGTCGGTACCTATGACGATACCACCAACCCGGAAGACCACCTAATGGCTTACACCAACCTTATGTATTTATAGGGGTTGGAAGACGCCACCTGGTGCCGATGCTTCCCGGAAACGTTGAAAGGCATAGCCCAACGATGGTTTGACAATCTGCCAGCCGGATGCATCAACAACTTCAAGACGCTTGCATACTTGTTTGCGTCCAACTTCTCCATGAACATCCCTGCCAAAAAGACAAGTCTCGACTTAGGGGCTATTCAGCAGGGAGACAAGGGGGGACTAAGGTCCTATGTCAGGCGGTTCAATCTGATGAGAATTCATATTCAAGGACTGTCTGACGAAGTTGCCTATACAGACTTCTTCAAGGGTCTGAAGGACGAGTCGACCTTTACGTTCGACCTGGTCCGCAAAAGGGTTGCTACCCTCCAAGAGGCATTGATGGAAGCCGAAGCCTACATACAGGCGACGGAGCTTTGCGCCATCAAGCACTCGTCAGAACCGAAAAGGTCCGACAGGAAAGAGAGCCGGTCTGCTCAGCCGGCCAAGAAAGAAGAGAGCAAGAAAAGAAAAGAAGTCTGGGCGGCGGACCGTTCTGGTTAGCCGTCCCAGAAGAAAAAGAGAGAGTTGAAGTTGTACGTCCCCAAGTACGAGTTCAACAAGGACTGCTCCTCCATCCTCATGGAGATCAAAGACCGGTTGACCCTTGAAAAACCGGCAGCAATGAAGAGTCCCATCAACAGCCAGGACAAGAGTAAGTACTGTCAGTTCCATGAGGATGTCGGCCATGACACCAATGGCTGCTATAGCCTCAGGCGGCTATTAGACCGCCTGGCTGATGAGGGGGCTTTAAAGTCCTATCTGGTGAAGTCCAAGGGTAACTCCAAAGCAAACAGTGGACAACCGTCTAAGAAGCCGGCTGTGAGCTCTGACACTGATGAATAGCACATCTTTACCATAGCAGGCGGCTTCACAGGAGGGGGTCCTACCATCCGGGGTACCAAGGACAACATCCGGAAGCTGGTCAACTCAGTGGATGAGGGCTAGACGTTGAAAGACACCTTCCCTAAGGTCCTCATCTCTGAGAAGGATCGGGGAAAGGTCAGGCAGCCTCATGATGACCCAATTGTCATCGAATGCAAGGTTGCCAACCGACGGGTGGGCCGGATCGTCATCGATATCGGGAGCTCGTCTGACCTTATCAGCTATCAGTGCTTGGCAAATCTAAAGTACAAGCCTGACAGCATGCACAAGGCTTCTCACCCCCTAGTTGGCTCTGGGGGTGGGGTAGTGCATCCAGTGTGGAGGATTGACCTACTCATCCGGCTAGGAGAGAATGGGGAAGGATGAAAAATGGTCGTCAAGTTCTTGGTGGTCGAAGAATTGACCGCTTACAATCTGATTTTGGGCCGTCCAACCCTTAACGAGTCCAAGGCAGTCATTATCCCATCCCTTATGCTGATCAAATTTGAGAGGGATGACGGGTCAGTGGGTTCCCTAAACGGGGATTAGAAGACCTAGGGAGTGTTACCTCTCAGACGTCAAGCCTACTGTGGCCGCAGCCGGCCAAGACAAGGAACCCATTGACCTTGATGACTTCAAGGAAGCCGCGCCTGCTCCCAAAGCAACCAGCAAAAAGAGAAAGGCGGACCACCTGGTGGCCGTAAAAAAAGAGAAGCAATAGCAATCACTGATCAGGGAACGATCAGAGGATCTCCGTCCCCAGCCGGCTGGTGAAAATATTGACATTGTTTTAGATGACAGCCGTCCGGAGTGAACCGTAAAAGTGGGACGGTTGCTTTTGCCAAGTTGGGTGCAGATTTGCACCAACTATTGAAGGAATTCAAATAAATTTTTGCCTTTTAAGTAGAAGAGATGCCAGGCGTCAGCCCAGATCTTGTTGTCCACAAACCATCCGTGAATCCAAAAAAGAAGCCGATTAGGCAAAAGAAAAGGAACCACGGCGAGGAAAGATCTCAGGCGGCAGCCGTCGAGGTCAAGAAGCTACTGGATGCCGAGTTCATTCGGCAATGCTACTACCCGGATTGGGTAGCCAATGTCGTCCTTGTGAAAAAGCCGAATGGAACCTGGCAGATGTGTGTTGATTACACAAATCTGAATAAGGCATGTCCTAAGGATAGTTATCCACTTCCAAAGATCGACAGTCTGGTCGACTCTATAGCCGGCCATGCCTTGATGAGCTTCATGGACACCTACTCAGGCTTCCATCAGATACCCTTGTGGAAAAAAGATCAAGAGAAGACGGCATTCGTCACTGATCAAGGATTATTCTATTATACGGTTATGCCGTTTGGGCTGAAGAATGTGCCTGCTACCTTCTAACGGATGATTAATACGGTCTTCATTAATCAAATAGGGAGGAATGTAGAGGCGTACATTGATGACATGATAGTCAAATCTAAGCTCCAGACGGATCACCTTGCCGATCTCCGAGAAACCTTCACCACCCTCAAGCGGCATAAGGTCATGCTTAATCCCAAAAAGTGCGTCTTTGGTGTTGAGTCCGGGAAGTTTCTCAGATTCTTGATTGATCAAAGGGGAATAGAGGCAAATCCTGAAAAGGTACAGGAGGTGATTAACATGAAGTCACCCGGCACTGTCAAGGAAGTCCAAAAACTTACCGGTTGTCTGGCGGCATTGGGGAGATTCCTTAGCTGGTCAGGTAACAAGTGCCTTTACTTCTTTCAGGCAATCAAGAAGAAGACTAGATTTGAATGGGGGGAGAATGTTGAGGCGGCATTCCAGAATTTGAAGGAGCACCTCCACTCATTGCCACGGCTGGTTAGCCCTCTAGCAGGAGAGGTTCTCTATATGTACTTGGCCGTCTCAGATTATGCCTTCAGTGTCGTTCTCCTAGCTGAGAGAGACGGCATTCAGCTCTCGGTCTATTTCATTAGCCATGTTCTCCGAAATGCTGAGCTGCGATACCCCTTGGTTGAAAAATTTGGCCTCGCCCTGTTTATGGCAGTTAAGAAGTTGAAGCCATACTTCTTGGCATATTTGGCGGTGGTATACACAGATCAACCTCACAAGCGGTCAATGACAACCTTGGAGTGATCCGGTAGAATGCTCAAGTGGGCCATTGAAATGCAAAGTCTGGAAATTTCCTTCGAACCTAGAATGGCACTGAAGGGTCCGACTTCATTGTTGAAATGACAAGGCCGGCTCAGCCGAAAAATGTCGATCAGGTTTAGAAGGTTTATGTAGACGGGAGCTCTACTATGAACGGTTGTGGTGCAGGCGTAATTTGGAAGTCTCCGGATGGGGACAAATATGTTTACGCATTACGGTTCAAGTTTCAAGCCTCAAATAATGAGTAAGGCGGTATACGCATGTGTAAGGCGGCAGGGGCAAGAAAAGTTGACGCCTGCTCAGATTCTCAGTTGATCATTAGTTAATACCATGGTGACTATGAGGCCACCCATCCGGCGATGATCAAGTATCTGCAAGCGGTCAAAGATGAGGTCGGGACACTTGACAAATTTCA